TAAGGGAGAAACATGTCATACAATGGGCAACTTCTGCCGTCAAGTCAGTTCTGTTTCTTCTTTCTTTTCACCTCTGATCTCATCCCCTTCCTTCCAGATTGTGCCAAAAAGAATCTGTTTGCTTGTTATCTGTCTGATTTCTGTCAGTGGTTAGATGAGGTAACCACATTGTCATCAGACTCTGGAAGCTTCTCTCACTGGTCACACCATCCTCACTTCAGCAGCTGGGACCACTGACAAACAGAGCTTCTCATTCTCCACTGTTACCCATACTCTGGTGTGAGGATGCTGATGGATATGGGAGGAGATGAGGTGATTGCTCTTAGAAAATAAAGCCTTGTTGCAAAAAAAGAAGAAAAAAATCCCCATCTAAACCTCATCTCTATACTCCTATCCAAAACACGTATATGCTTTCATACCTGACATTCCATTTGACCCTTATATCAAAACTGGTGTGTTCGTCAGCTCAGGCTGCCATAACAAAATACTATACATTGGGTGGCTTAAACAAGAGAAATTTATTTTCTCACAGCTCTGGGGGCTGAAAGTCCAAGATCAAGGTGCTGGTAAGGTTTCATTCTGAGGCCTCTTCACTGGGTTTATAGGTGCCGCCGTTTTTCTGTGTGTTCATAAGGCCTCTTTATTGTGTGCATGTGGGGACCAAGATAGAGAACGAGAGAAGCTCAGGTGTCTCTCCTTAAGGGCACTAATCCCATCATGAGGCCCCACCTTCATGGCCTCACCTAATCCTAATTACCTCTCAAAGGCTCCATCTTCAAATACCATCACATTGCCGGGCGGGGCTTCAACATATACTTTTTGAGAGGCCACAAACTTTGAGTCCATAACACCTGGGAAAGAAGTTTTGGTAGTTTTCCTGATGAGAAACTGAGGCTCAGAGAAGTAAAAAATATTAGACTGAGCCAGCGAGAGAGGACTGAAGGAAGGTAGTGTCCATAACGATGACTCCTCTATGCACACCGATGCTTACCCTACTCTCCCTCTCCCCTCACCAGTGCAGGAGCCTGATGTACCATTATTCCGGCACAGAGCCATTTCTTCTGCATTCTTAGAAGGGTGTTGTAGTTCAAAAATTCAGCCCACAAATTCTTTGATACTCCTTCCTACAAAATGTGGAACTAATTCTTCTCCCGTTGAATCAGGGCTATACTGACCAACTCACTTCTAACAAATAGAATGTGGCAGAAGTGATGGTGTGAAGTTTCTGAGATTAGGTCTAAACGGCAGAATGACTATCTCCTTGCCCTCTCTCAGATCATGGGCTCTGGGGAAAACAGCTGCCATGTTGTGAAGACCACTCAAGTAGCCCTATGGCAAGGCACATGTAGTGAGGAACCAAGGCCACCATCCAATAGCCAGTGAGGAACTGAGGCCTCTTGGCAATAGCCAAGGTGTGTCACCTTGAATGTGAATTGTCCAGCCCCAGTCAAGACTTCAAGTGATTGCAGTCCTGGATGCCATTTTGACTGCAATCTTATTAGCGACCCTGAGCCAGAACCCCTGGTTATCACTCCCAGATTCCTGACCTACAGAAACTGAGATAATAAATGTTTGTTGTTTTCAGCTGCTAAATTTGGGGGGTGGGGGTGGGGTGGGCAGCAATAGATAATTAATACAAAGGGAAAGGCGTTTTATGCTATATTCTAAGTTCTTCGTTTGCCACATTACCCATGTGGCTAAGCCATGTCAACATTTCTACATCAGCTTCTTCTTATAGAAAATAGCAACAAAATACCATATAGTGTGCCTGATACACATATGCCTATAAATAAGTGCTCACTAAATTATAGTTGTTGTCAATACCTTATCAGCTGTGTGGCTTCCCCAGTTGAGCTTCTTCTATTGGTTTCAGAGGCCCACTTCCCTTGAGGTGCCAACCTCAAACTTAAGTTAGTGTGTATTGCCTGCAAGAGAGCCCTAAATGCCTAAACCTTCCTGGCTGAGGGGCTCATGGCTTCTTCCATTTCAGTATAAAGAGCCTTAGCGAAAACAGCCTCACTTTTTCTCTCCTTGTCTTTTGCTAGCCTCCATTCTTAAACTTAACCTTTCATCTCAGAATTTCAGCTTTGATGCTCCCCACTTCCTTCCTATGGTTACTTTAACCGAAGTGAGTCAGGTCTTACTGAAAAACTGACCACAGGCAGTCAGCTCCCACCCTCTCCGGTACCAGGGCTGCCTGGGCAGAGCGTGAGGGCGATCAGTGTTTACTCAGCCCATCTTTTCCCCTCTCTACCCAAGTCACGGGGCCTTGGGTAGGGCTTCCCCAGCCACCGTGCCCCTCCCAGCAGACCGCAGTCAGAGCCGATCTCGCATTTGACTGATGGCTCAAGAAGAAGTGGCAGCAGCTTGAATCCTTAGGTATCCTATAGTGTGGGCTAATTTGCTTATATTCTACTCTGTTGGGTCCAGCCTGTTGCCTCTGACCTCAGTTCAAGGAGGATTTGGTAAGAGTTTTTAGCTGTGAATACCAATAACAACCAACTGTGTGAACTGGGTCCACTCCTAGTGCTGGAGTCACGGTAGCCCTCTAGCTTAATTCTCATGATAACCCAGGTAAATTAGTATGTACTCCTGGACCTTTGGTGCTTGAAGAAGCAAAAAACAAACAAACGAAAACACTAAAATACTTCCTCTGCCTATCTTTCTAATTTTGTTATGTAAATAATTCATCCTTAGCCTTGAAAATTAGCATGAACTTTAAGGATTTAAGGCTGATTTCTCAAAGGATTGAGTCCATGAGAAGACTATGGTGGTCCTTGCTATTGGCTGTTGAAGGGAGGATACCTTCCCCCCCACCCCCCAGCCCTGATTTGGACCCTTCCCTCTCTCTGGGTAGCTGACTTCTTACTCTGGAATGAAGAATTCATTCATCTAATCTCTTCTATCTTGGAGACTTTGAGGGAATAATTTTAGTCAGACAGACGTCAACTGACACCATAACATGATTTTAATAAGATCCATTTATTTATTCAAAATTAAAATCTGCTATGAAGACAGACAAACAATGTAACATTCCCAGAGGAACTGAATTTCTTTTAGTTAAAACTGAGTTCTATTAGAACCAATTTTAGGTTGTTATAAATAAAAAGCTGGCCACAGCTTTCAAGAACAAAGTGGTTAGAAAATGAGGTCAGGGAAACCCTCTGAGCCACTGGGATATTAATTATCAAAGGGGCTTCCTAGTTTCTCTTCCTAAGAGAGTAAGAGTCTTTGTAACACTCTGGGAGTCCGAGCCCAAGAACGAAAGAAATTAGAGGGAGGTCAGGAAAACAGCCCAACAGCTCTCAAGTGTGGTCAGACCTGGAATGGGAGCTTCAGCTGGCTCCCCCCAAAACATTATTTTTTCCTTATATAACTTACAATTTCTCTAAAAACACTCAAATACCATAGGATGTTACCCTATGGAAACAGCTTAAACACAAGTGAAAATAATAAATATTGAAAAAAATTATAATATTGGGCTTCTTTCTAAATAGTTCACAGAGAAGCTCAGTAAATAAATAGAAATGGGAATTGAGGTATCAGAGGTAATAAATATTCTAGGAGAGAGGTACGACAGGGTTTTCCAAGGAGCTGGTTTGGCTGTCCTGGAAGCCTGGATCAGATTTTGGAGATCTCCAATTTATGTCCTAGAGTCTAGTAGTCACCATCCTGGATGTTTTGTTTCTTAGGATGTCTTAGTTTTTCATCCTCATTGTCAGGTAGTCTTCTATGTAGTTGATGAAGATATCGAACTCACTCATGGCTTTGTAGACCCCTTTGTCTTGGAGCTATTTAAGGGAGATAAGAAATGTTTAGTGAAAACCCAATATGAGTGAGTAAGTGGGTCCCTTGCTTGGATGGCCATGACCCTGGGGCCCAGAAGCTGCACTTGACACCTCGAGCCAGGAGGTGGGGATGGACCCAGGGAACCTGAGGCTATGCCCAGCCACCTTGGGAAAGGCTGGGCATTGACATGAGGCAAGGCTAGTGGTGGCAAGAGGAACATCCACTCTGCAAAGCAATCTTCGAAATGGTGCTTTTTCAACAATTTAAAAAGTCATGTGCTCATGTGATGCTTATTCAGAATTTGACGAAAAAACATTAGAGGAACCACTTTGAAGACAAGACAGTGAGAGAAGAGAGAAGGGAGCCTCTTCTAGGTTTATTCTCTCCCCCCAAGAGATTGAGTAGGCCCCGCCCTCCCGCTCCAGCCCATGTCAGAGGATTCATGTCACCTGACGTTGAAACCCTGCCCACTGTCTGTTCCCAGCCCCCAAAGAGGGCACAGGCCACAGGGCTTCTGAGAAACGGGGTTGAAATATTCATGGACAGTTGGAAGCGTGAAACCCCATTTGGTTTGAGAGCTGACATTCTCAGGCACCTTGGAAGATATAAGTGGCCGATGGGAAGTGAGTGTGGACCAACTCTAGATAACTGAGAATCCTGCTTCCTGTCCCATCTGAGTTTTGGAGCCTTTAGGCTGAACCCCTGGGCGTGTTTGTGTGTGCACATTCACGTGCTGGCTTCCTACACATGTGGCTTCAGCCTGGATTCCTAGCAAACTACTTTCTGTTCCCTTTGTCACTCTCCCCAGCACCCAGCTCTGTGTTCACAGGCCGGCTCTACACGCAGGGCTGCAAAGGCGGGGAGCAGTCATTTAGAAACCCCCAAAGACACTTCACAGAAAACAAATATAACCGAGGCTGCGGCTCCTCAGTGCCTGAGGCGGTCACACCATCTGTCAGGTTCCCACAGTCCCTCCCAGCAAAGGATGGGGCCTGCTTAGCACCTGCCAACATCTGCCCCTTGGGGAGTTGGCAGAGGTCATAGTTCCCAAACCTTCCTTGCCACCGTCCCAGCTCACCTGAATGAAGGCACTCTTCACCTGCTCCACTGCAGCACTCTTATTTTCACAGGGTAGAAAGCGATGCTGTGGAGGAAAAGAGAAAGTGTTAAAGACACTGGCTCCCAGCTCCCGACTCCATAGCACTTGGGGGACAAGCCGGTAGCATGAAGAAGGGGCCAGACTCATCTTGAATGCCTCCCCGCCCCCATACTCCTACCTTTTATCCTTCCCCACTAGACAGAGAAATAAAATTGCCTAGGAGATGCAACATGTTTGCAAGGCTTGCATGAAAACCCAGGTCTTGGCGCTTCCTCTCCGGAACACATAGTGCCAACTAGATGCTGAGCCAGGCATTCTGTCCTTTCCTGCTTCTCTGTCCCGTCCCTCCCCTTCCGTCCCAGCCACTGAGGACCATTTCTAAGTCTCCGAGGAAGAGGAATAGAGACCCAGTTTCAACAATGTGGACGGAATCCTTTGCATAATTCCATCCTACAAATAAAGACCCAGAGCAGCTGCTTTCCCATTATCAGCGAGAGAACAAAAGGAAACCAGCGGGGAGGGGACCATTTCAGTTGGAGAAAGAAATTATCCTTGAGAGTTGTTTGTAGATACTAGCCCCAGGGCCATCCTAAAATACCATGGAAAAACCTGCCAGTCATTTGGGCCCCACTTAAAGCTCTGCTTTCTAAAGGTTGAGAAGAAGAAGTGGAGTTTCGTCTCCCTGGAGCTCTCACCTCCCAGCACCTCCTGCAGGGCCCAGGGTGTAGGTCCTAAGGGACAAGGGAGCCCTGACTGAAGCTCTGGGCCCCTGTCATAAAGAGACAGGGGAATAGTTAATAACCCACAAATGACTCACAAATAACAGGAAAGCTGTTTGCAAATCTTCACATGTAAATGCCTTGCAGCCACCCCACCCCCTGCTCAGAGAGAAACGAGAGGGCTCCTGCCACTCGGTGTCTGTGTGTGTGAGTGGGGGCAGGAGATGAGATGGTGTTTCGGGATGAGCTGGGCAGCTGCAAGGGAGAGAGCTGGTCTGCTACTCACACAGCGCCGGAGCCGGAGCCTGAGTGTCTTCAGCTTTTCCCCGAGGGAGTTCACGTGCTCCTTGATGTCTGGGCCCTGGCTCTCAGCCTTGGGCATCACCTCTTCCAAGTAAAACTGGATCATCTCCGACAAGGCTTGGCAACCCAGGTAACCCTAAAGACAGGAGCAGTGGGGTGGTGACTGGGAGGAAGGGTTGCTGCTGCTAGCTTGAGAGACCCGCTTTGTCCCCAGGATCTTTCCAGCCACCTTCCCCCAGGACTGAGCCCTTCGTAACCCTCTGGCTGGGTATGTGCTGAGTTAGGATCTTCCTACTGGTACTTTTCAAAGCGAAGGAAGCAGACCCAGCTCCCTGCAGGCACGAAGCAGAGCCTCCCTTCCCTTAATCACAAGCCACACTCCCCTGCGCACCCACCCAGCTCTCACCGTAAAGTCCTCCAGCAAGGACGTACTCAGCAACATGTTGTCCAGCTGGTCCTTTGCTTGCTGCAAAAAGAACAAAAGGAGAGTGAACCTGAGGTTAGGGGAAGTACCTGAAGTGAATGTCCTTTATAGAATGTTTGATTTGTAATCAATGCAGTCCTGGTCCAAAAATGGAAAGCAGAGTTTTCAAAACAGAACGTTCACCAGTGCTGGCACCCTTAGTTAAATCAGGTCCGCCCTCCTCGGGATCAAGTAATTCAAAACATTCTGCCCGATTTTGAAGCCAAGGCAGAGGCTTGCCTCGGTCCTAGTCTCCTTTCTGCAGAGACCATCAGGCTTGAAGGCGCTGCCCGTGCCAGCCCTCCAGTGCTCCTTGGCTGTTCTCCCCCCTCCTGCGGACATCCTCATGTAGCTTTGAAGGTTCTCTGGGAGTGGGAGGCAACTCCTCATGCAGGATCTCCCCTGTATGGCACTTCCCCAAACCATCAGTCTTTCAGGTTCTGGAACTCTCTAAACAGAGGCAATTTATGTTTCCCTGCCACAAGGTGCGGGGGGCATCTTCACCTCTCATCACACCCTTCGTGCCCTCAGCCAATGAAGCATCAAGCTCCAGCAGAATCTTTTAAAAAGTTTCTGAGCACAGGAGAGAGAATGCTCCTAGTTTTAAGCAGCTTTTCCTGCATATTTCCTGTACCTTAACTCACTGAACCCCTGACTTCCCTGGGGGAGTCTCTTAAAATTTAAGTTTGGGGGGACTGGGTGCTGGGGATGGAAGTGAGCAGCAGGAGGGCTCTTAGAGCTCTAGCAGGATGCCTAGTTCAGGCAATCTCAGGAAGGAAGGACAGGAGGGCCTCATACTCACAAAGAAAATCTTCACCCTGTTGAAGGCCTCTCGGAGCTCACGAAGCATGATGGGCAGTCCTTCTGGAAAGTAGATGCAGCTGTTCTCAGATGGGGTGCCCTGGTCTCGGCTGGCCCCCACCCCGGCCAGGAAGACCAGGCAACAGAGCAGTGCTGAGCTGGGCATAGTAAAGCTCTGCTTTCTTCTGCAAGTTGGCCTTATGGTTTGGTTTTGCAAGAGCAAGCCCCTGATGTGTAGACCTTCACCTACTGTGCCCCCTTTTATATTGTGGGTTCAGTGAGGCCTCTCATTCATAGCCACAGTC